CCCCCCCAATTTCATTAAATAGTTGAATTAGTTTGAGATAATCCACAGCTCTCACGCCCATCAGACGGTACATGCCTCCTTCCACACAGAGGCATTCAATGCCTAGGCTGGGACATGATTGTCCATTCAATCCTTTTTGCTAGTGCAGGGCTGGGAAGAAATATTGAGATTTCCCTCTGCCTGTACTGCTCCAGAAATGAGAAGGAAGGGATAAGAATAGAATAGATTGTTTCAGGTGGAAAGGACCTCCAGTGGTCATTGGGTTCAGCTGTCTGATGACCAACCCTTTAAAGGGTAAGGAAACGCTCATGCCACAAGGGCTGACCTAAAGGTCCAAATGACTTTTAAACGCTAACATGCTTGGAGCATCAGCCACCTTCTAGGAAGCTATTACACTGGTTGATCACCCTTGTGGCAAAGAAATGCTTCCTAATGTCACATCTAAACCTTCTGTGGTGCAGCTTTGACCTGTTCCCACATGTACTATCACTCATCCTGGGGAGAAGAGCTCAGCGCCTTCTTCTTCACCTTCCTCAAGAAGCTGCAGGGAGCAATGAGGCCACCCCTCAGCCTCCTTTTCTCTAACCTAGACAAGCCCAAAGTCCTAAGCCAGTCCTCATAGGACATTCATTCCAGGCCTTTCCACAGCTTTGTTGGTGCCTTCTGGACATATTCAGGGACCTTCACATCCTTCTTAATTTGTGGGCCCCAGAACTGCTCACAGTACTTGAGGTGTGGCCATATCAAAGCTGAGTGCAGCAGGATAATCACCTCTTTTGTGTGAATGGTTGAACACAGGGTTTGATGCATCCCAGGATGGGGTTTGCCCTTCTGGCTGCCTGGGCTCTCTCCCTGTTGGCTCACACTGAGCTGCTGCTGACCAGCACTCCCAGATCCATTTCTGCGGGGCTGGTCTCTACTGCTCCTGTCCCAGTTTATACTTGGGTCCAACATTACTCTGTCCCAGATACAGACTCTGGCATTTGCTAAATTTATTGCCACTGACTGCCCAATGCTCTGATCTATCCACATTGCTCTGTAGGGTTTCTCATCCCTTATGGGAGTGAGTAGCACTTGAGTATCACCAGCAAATTTGCTAATAGTACATTCAACTCCTGCATCCCTATAATAGATAAATCTATTGAACAGAACTGGTAGCTGTGAATGTTTATATTGCATGAGTAGTTGGCAAGTCTTATATAGGCAAACAGATCCATGATATCCTTATTCCCAGTTGCATAGAAATTTCCATTGTGTATGTCAGCTGCAATTGCTTTGCTCTTGTTTGCTCTTTTTTTAAGGATATAAAGGACAGAAAAATGCTACCTCTGGTTTTATGAGGTGTTGCATTATGAGGTGGCATCTGCAGTGTCTAAGTACAGGCTTGAAATGGGTACTAGAATAACCTTGGTTACATGTGTTCTTTTTATGTTCTCAACAGAAAGCATAACTTGGCAGCAATACAGAATACTGCTGAGCCGAGTACTCTTGTGTTTTAACTGCTGGCTCTGTGAGCATCTCCTCACTTCTCAGTATCTTGGTATATCTAGGTTGAATGTGTTCCCCTTCTTGTGAAAGCAAGGATGGACTTACACTTTTACTGATATTTCTGCATTCTAACTCGGAACATGAGTATTTGTTGTGCTATGAACACATATGTGTGTATATATGGATGCATAAATGTGTACCTATGCATACATATAATAAGAATAGTGATTATAATTTACACATTGGTTGTGATTATCAGTTGACATCTCAAACACCTGGTGGAATATGAAATGGAATCCATTTTAAAAAGTAACAAACTGTGCAAACCATGATGATGCCTTCTTAAGTGCCCTGCTCCATTAAAATATTACTAGCTTCTGAACTGACTGGATCACAACAGTTACCTTCAGTTCATGTTTAGAGACATTCTACTAGGAGCATGAATTTTTCCAGAAAAGTTATGTTATCATATAATTTAAACTGTGTAGTAATGCCTGTCCCCAAATGGTTTACAAAGAAATTGCACTTGAAAAGTTTGGTTTTTCAAATTAAATACTCTTTTAGATTTTTAAAACTATATCACTATATCACTCTATGCACACACACACACACACACACACATATATATATGAAATAACTCAGAGTCTTTCAATTCTACAAGTAGTATCTTATAATGAAAACCATTGCTGGTACTGAGAGGCTGCTTATCCTTTTGAATCCATAACAGAGCTCTATAAATACTAGTTGCTGATGATATAATGTCTTTTTATTTTGCTGCTGTGTAGAATGTAGACTCACAGACTTGGGCTTTGTGACATGGTAGTGTTTTTCGTTATGAGGAAGAACCATGAACTGACAAAAAGATGTTTAAAGATACAGTGGACATTGCTTAGTATATCCAAGTTCTTTGTTTATTATGACTTCCTAATAAGAAACTGTAAAATATTTTACAGTTATACTTGCCATGTATTTCCTGTAGATGTGCCTGCTTTATGTTTCTGTATGTAAAAGACTTGATATAAACTGTGGGCTTTAGTATATACACTTTATAAAAAAGTATCTGATTCCAGATGGGGTCTTGATATGATAGCATATATTATTTTGCACTAACCTATAGATTTCCTTTACTGGAATTTGTATAAATGAAGCTTGCATTTGCAAGATGTGATCACTGACCTGCACATTGACTTTGGAAAAGAAGTGGTATCTATTACATGTATCTAACATTCTTTGAATTCTCTCTTGCTTATACTTTTTCTGCTTTCAATTTACCCCTTTTCTATATTGATGATTTTTCTTACTAAGCTGAAGGTAAAGCTGTCAGGAAAATTAAGTGGTTACTTCAGATGCCTAGAGGAAGTAGTAATCTTTCTTGAAGAGTATGATTTTTTGAAAGTACCAAACTGACTTAAAACTCCCTGCTCCCCATTTCAGAAGTTACTCGGACTTCTACTTTCTTGATTTAGCCTTGCTACTTGGGCAACTAAATGTGGTAATTTTATAATTTTGCTTCTGTGAAAGCTGTCTAATTTTCCTGAGTAGAATGTCTGCTGGACATTCTGCAATTTTGAATAAAACTCTGGATTCTTGGGGAATAAATCAACAATGCCTTCACTCTGTGCTCAGTGCATACCTTCTTTTCTCCCCTCTCCCTCCGCTCTTGGCCTTTACCGCCCTGTGCCGTGGAGCCGAGCTGCGGGAGTGCCGGAATGGGGCACGTGGAGTGCTCCACCACTGTCTGCGGGGACAATGGCCACAGTGTCACCCAGGCCTACACAGGGGCTGCTGATGGCATTTCTGTGGAATGGCATTGGTGTGTGGCATCTACTGAAATCTGTAGGATAAGCAAATGCAAAAAATTTCTATAAGCTGTCAGACCTTTGAAAAGGGCATGTTGTGGCCTCTATGATAAATGCCACAAATAGCAGAGCTGTCATGAAGCAGTTGGTTCAAACTGGAGACTGCATGCCAGTCATGGTCAGATTTGAACTGTGGAACGAACTTCTCATCGTCCCACCCCTAAGCATGTGGTGTGGGCAGTCTGCTCTAAGTCTTTGTCTCCTGTCAGCAGGAGGCAAAGTTTTTCCTTAAAACCTGGTGCAAAGAAGTACAGCCTGGACCTGTTTTCTCTAGTGGCACTACAGACATGTGGAATGTTTACATTCCCAGTTTCAGGTACAAGAGTCACAGAGTGATAGAATGGTTTGGGTTGGAAGGTACCCTGATTTTTAAAGCCCCTGCTTAGGCCAGGAAACCTTCCACCTGACCAGGTTGCTCAGAGCCACATCTAATCTGGCCTTGAACATTTCCAGGGATGGGACATCCACAGCTTCACTGAGCAACCTGTTCCAGTGCCTTTCCACCCTCACAGTAAAGGATTTCTTCCTAATCTCTAATCTGCACCTACTCTCTTTAAAGCCATTGCCCCTTATTCTGTCACTACATGCCCTTTCCTGCCCTTCTCTCTTAAGCCTCCTCTAGATACTGGAAGGCTGCTGGAAAGGTCACAAGAAGAACAGATAAAACTTCAGTACTGATTGCCATTTGCTTCAGCTCTTGTAATACTGAGCTTACCAAGTGAGCTTGAAAGTGGCCATTTTAAAATGCTTTTTAAGAATATGGTAAAATTATGATTAGTGTTCAGTTACTATATTTATAAAGCAGCAGACTATGATATGCAAACTAACCTCAAATAAAACCTTTTTTCCTTTGTTACTGATTTCCACAAATCATACTTTTAGGAAAAATAAACTTCTTGAAGATTTCTTATTTTTGAGCATCTAATGAATTTCTTGGGTACTGAGATTTCAGAAATAGATAGAAAGCAGCCATCTTATTTTCTGCCCCTCGAAACAAACAACTGCAGTATAGACAACTAGACGTTGCGTGTGTTCAGCTTCTGCTTGCATGCTGCTTCTGCTGGTCTGAGCATCAGCTCTTAGTGTTTTGCTTGTTCTTTTTGTCTTTTGCAGATAACATATTTTATTTTTCAGTGCATTCATATAATGGGATTCATAAGTCACTGAGGTGTATTCCAGAATGATAAAAATGCTAAGGTTAAATGCTAAAGTGTAGAAACAATATTAATTTTTAGAAGATAATAGAGAAAAAATTGCCTCAAATAAAGAAGTCTTCTGTTACTTTAAAGATAAAGATCTAGAAAAGGCAAGACCATTTAGTGACACTTAACAGTTAAAAAATTTTAAATTTTTCAGGTACTGAATTTTCCTTGCATATTTACTTTGTTCTTGTTTTGGGTTTTGAAAAAAACATTGAAATTTCTCTATTTTTTTGTCAAGGATATGTATAGCTTTGAAGTATGGTGAACAATCTTTGTAAGAAAGTTTATAGTTTTATAATCCATTAAATATATATTTTAAATTTTCCTGAATAATATCATTGAATAACAGTACCTATAGTTAAGAACCTTACCGATTTACTTATCTTGATTTTATCCTTTTTCTTATTTTTCCTTATTTTTTTTCTTCTTTTCCTACCCCCCTACCCCTCAGAAAAGAGCCAGAGGACAAGTGCTGTTTGATAAAGTATGTGAACACCTCAATTTACTGGAAAAGGACTATTTTGGGCTGTTGTTTTATGAGAATTCAGAACAGAAGGTAAGCCTGTATGAGGGTTTTGTTTGTTTTTCATCACTGCCACTCACTTCAATAGTTCAGTGAGGTATATTCTATTAAATGTTTACTGTTTCAAACACTTGAGTAAATTCTGCTGCCTTTTTTCATAGATGTGTAAGAATGCTTTGTTTATGAACATGAAAAGAATCTAGCCCATAAGTCTGTAATGACCTAAGTCAGTAAGGCCTTTTGAGTTCCTTTATTATTAATTTTAAATTTAAAGAAAATTTTTGGCTTTTGTAATAAGGCTGAAGCTAGTCCATCAATGGTATTGGATGCTAATTTTACAAATGCATGGCATTTGAGATGACTGCATTTGAAAGGATTTCTTAAATACCATTTGGTAACTTCCATCTTCATTTGCACTTGCTTTTATGTTGGATGGTTGAGCACACCTAGATTGCTCAGCTAAGAAAAATTTTAAATTGGTCAGTGGCAAGTGTTTTATTAATTAACAAAACCCAATTTATCTTTCTAACATCTTAACATTTACAGTTTTGGTATGGGCTGCCTGTTTCTTCCTCCATGAACTAAAGATTTATGTGTGGTCATCTTTTTCTTCAGAAAAAATCTCCCAGATAAATAATTACAAATTGAAGCTGGAAAAATTATATATCTTTTTTATCGGTATTTGTAGTAGAAGCATCTTTACATCATACTGCATCTAAAAGTTACTGCTTTTTTTCTGTCATCTTCTTAACACTTTTTTTTTTTAATTAAGTGTAATTTCATGGTCTGAATAAATCTGAATTTCTGACAACTTCCATTCTGATAAAGCTGTTTTCTAGAGTTAGTTGCTTTGGTGCAAAGCTTTCTGTGCAGTATTGAGCAAAATACTCAACTCCTCTATATTAAAAATCCCTATATACAAAATGAACTTGTTATAGTATTACTTAGATATTTAATTTTTGTTCTTGATTTGTAAACCATTTGCAGAGATCTTCTTCACCACTAGACCAAAGAAGTTCTTTGGTCTAGTGGTGAAGAAGATCTTTGTTGATCTTCTAAGTAATATCAATCTTATATGTTATTTTTGCTTGTTGCTTTATTTGTGCTTCTCAGTATTGAAAAACTATACTGTATATATGCAAGAAAACAACATAAAACAGCAGTCTGATCTCTGGCAAGAGAGAATATGTCTAATACTAGACCTGTGATCCTTGGCCTATACCAGAAAATAGTCCATTGAGTAGATCCCAGGAGATAAAATAGGGAACTTTGGATTTTTGGAAGTTAAGCAAAAAAGTCTGGATTGGTGTAGGGTTATGTCTTTTTTTTCCCCCTAATTTTTTCTTTTTTCTAGTTAGACTAAGACTTTCTTGGTGTTCTTCAGTCATTAGAATAGAGAAACTGAGGTCCACTCTTTAAAAAGACCCCATCTGTTTTTTCATATGTCTTTTTCCTTGGATATACTAAAAACTTGACTGGATCTGAACCTGGGCAACCTGACTTAATTCAAAACTGGCTCTTGAATCACACTTGGACCAGTTATGTCCAGAGGTCTCTTTCAGTGTGAATGAGTCCTTGAATTCCTTATCAATTGACTGTGAGAGTGGTACTGTAGCTAGAAACACTCTTAAGTATTTACAAAAATTAAGAAGTATTTACATAAATTGAGAAATATCTGATAATGGGGTCCTTATTCAAAAGTAGAATAGATCACTTCTCACCTGAGTTATGGACAGGAGCAGGCTTTTATTTAAAAACTTCTGGGGAAATCTGGTTGTTTTTGTTATGAAGACTAAACAACCGGATTTGCTGAATTTTGTCTTCTTCATACAAATACATTCCTAGTGTTATTTGGAGAAACTTAAAAAAGACCTCTCTCCTAGCAAATTTATGTTTAGGCTCCTCTTTTTGGATCACCTCTGTTACTTTTTAATTTTGGTACCAGTTGTTTTTTGGGGGTTTTTTTTGGTTTTTTTTTTGTTTGGTTGGTTTTTTTTTTTTTTTTCAGTTGGTTTTTTAGATCAAAATGCCACAAATCCCTTATCTCCAGGCCAGTCAGTACTAAATGCTGAATGATGTGTTTTTCCCATTCTTGTGCACTCATCACAACCCCCATTTATGAGCCAGCTGTTGAATGCCACAGCAGCTGTGGCGGGTGGCAGCTGAATGCCAGGCACTCTGTTGAATTGGAGCTGCTCCCCAATGTGCCATCGGGGTACCATTGGAGGAGGAGTCCCATTAACTCTTCTCCATGGGTGTTCTGTGCAGCTGGGAGAGAGGTTGTGTCTTCCAATCAGACTGATTTTTGTTAGCTTTAATACACATTTTAAAACTGTTTAGGCCAAAATAGTAATTAATGATTTCTTTCATTTTTTGGAAATGTTAAATTTATTACCCTGAAGTTTAGTTAGAGATTTCATTGCATTGCACCCTCAGAAGTTCATGAATGCTCCATTCACCCTGTAATTGGTCTGCAGAAGTGTTAGAAAGCTTCTGCTCTTATGTTTTGGGCACCAGCTGGAAATGCTGCTTTTCTGGATTTGTACAAAATACTTTTGTACTGGTAGAGAACATTTTGTTCTTTGACAATACATTACTTTGTCTCATCTATAACCTTACCATTCACAAATTAAACAAATAGATTTCTGCCTACTGGAGCAAAGTTGTATGTATACACTTTGTCTTTTATTTTGCAAGACAGACCTGCATTAAGAGCTCTAATTTAGGGTAAATTCTTTTCTGGTGTTTGTTTTTATCCATGACAAAAGGCACAGATGCAAAAAAACCCACTACTGTAATTGGGTTTATAAATGGAATATAAGCATCTGATCTTATTTGACAGAGCAGTAATGAAAGTTGGTGGTTAAGTCTGCTTCCAATAAGCTTATTTCGGGCTTGGAAAAATCAAAAAATGAACTGTATAACTTGTGCAAAGAAGGGATTATCATCTTGGCAGCATATTCTATATTGTATGTTCTTTTCTCCTGCTTTGTAGTGACGAAACATGAAGCATTGTGAAAGTATTATGTACTCAGAAATCCTATTTTTTTGTTGTAGTTATTCCATGCTATATTCTCTATTTATTTACTTGATGCTGTGTTTAAAATGTAAGGATTTGAGATACTTCTGGTTATTGTAGTTGCAAGAATATGGTGGTAGGTAATTTCAGAATGGAATCCTTGCCAAAACTGAAAACCTAGGATGACAGCTGTAGCTGAAGTGCATCTCGGTTAAAATTATTTGAAGTCTTATGTTGTTTTCCAAGGCCTTTCCATGTCAAGGCTCTTCTAACAGAAAGCATTTTTTTCTGACTTAAGCATTATAAATGGTATCCAGGATATTGGAGAAGTGCTTTCTAACTCTTCCTTTGTAAAAATGTTATGGACTTTGCCTTCTCTGGAAAAATTATGATAGCTATGGAAAAGTAGAGATCACAGATAAAGCAAGAAATGTGAAAATTATTGTCTTTTTTAAAACATTGCCATTGTAATAAATTATAAAAAGGGGGTTTGCTTTTAATTTGTAAATAATACTCATCTAATATGCATATGGTACACTGGTGATGAAATCTAGTTGGACCAAGCTCATTTACAACAGGGATCTTGGTGTGTTGGTCCATACTCATGGGAGACACATTCTCTGTCAGCAGGGGCAATCTATGTTAAAGGTTTGCACTACTGCAGAAATGTAGTTCCACATCCTCCTAATTCACACAGATCTGTGAAACTAGCCTAGCATTTTTGTCTTCTTGAAAGAGGATGGACTTTGGGTGCAAAAGCCCCTAATATAGAGAGAGATTTGGTATTGGGAAAGAGTGTTGCATCTGGAATTTGTTTGTTACCATCGATTGAAAAAAGTGGGCCACATTATACCCAGGATGCTCTGCTTTGCTAAGGTAGGTGAGAAACATTGGTAGAAATAAGCCTTTGGCAACATTTGTGCTGCACTGAGGTATTCCCTCAGACTTTAAAACTGCAAGTACCTGCAGTGGACGGTGAAAAAGCAGATATTTTCCTTGGCCTCCTGAGGCAGTGTCTGACTCTTCCCTGCATTTCACGGCTGTCTTTGAAACGTTACAAGACTTGCTGTCAGGCTGGCTTTATTTATGGGTGTTTCTTCCATGAATGTGCTTGTGTGTGGCCGTGGGAAATAACGGTTTAAACTCAATGAAGGAAAGTCTCAGGTTTATGTTCCTAGTCTTTTAACCTGTTTTTTTTTTTTTTTTTAGCATGTATGGGTAAAGCTAGTAAACAGGATTGTATGAGTTACTGATGAATATATGTTACAGATTCCTTAGTCTTACTTCCAAAAGTTAATTTTTGGATGATCTCTCACAAAACAGTCTCTTTGCACATGTCAGTAGTAACTGAAATGTAAAAGCCAATTAATATGTTGCACAGATTATATTGAAGTATTTTTGGTATTGAAGATTTTAAATGCTGGCTGTGGCTTGCTTGTTTTGTTTTTTTTCAGAACTGGCTAGATTCTTCAAAGGAAATTAAGAGACAAATTCGAAGTAAGTACTTCTGTATTCAGATGTTATTATGCTCCTCTTTTTGTCTCACAGAAACATGCTTCATAAATTTAGTAGCCTGGATGTCAATTGCTTACAGCGTTAAAATAATTTATATCTGATAGTGATGTATTCACCTTAAAACAGGAAGCAAATCTTCTATTTCCATCCCCTGTCTAAGTAGAGCAGAGGGAGTCACTCAGCATTATGCTGTAGAAGTTAATGATTATGCTATCTTATATGTTACTGTTATATCACTATATTATAATGATTAATCATTATATTATATTAGAAACTAATCAAATATATTAGTGCTCCAAAATTTTCCCTTGTTTTGTGAGTAATAGTCGATATTCTTGCATCTTGAAACTGTAGATGTTTTTTAACTTTGTGCTGATTTTGGATGGAGAATGCGATCATGTAAATATGGTCATGATTGTTGCCATGGACTTTCTTACTTTAAAGAATCACCAGAAGAATATGAACCTACAAAAAGAGAATTAATATATTTTACAGAAAATTAATATTCTTCAATACTGATCAGTCCACCATTGACTTTTTTGATAATGTCCATCATTTTCAGAATGGAGATAGAATAGAGAGCATAATCTTGGAATGTCTCACTACAGTACTTTCCAGACTGAATCTGCTTGAAATGTCTTTCTACTTCCTATACTTAGTACATGATGAGTAATTTATTTTACTCTGTTTACATAAAGCTCTCTCAAAGCTCTTCACTAGCTGGGTAACTTTTGTAGTAAATGGGGAGTGTATGGAGAGTAAATCTAGGTGATACTCTGCCTGAGTCTACATATCACAGAATAAGTGGCCACTAAAACATGCTAGACAGCCCTTGCCCTTACTGAACTTATTGCCGTTGCTTTACCCATTTGTGTCCAAACTAGGTTTTTCGTTATTGTTTTGTTTTTAATGGAAACCTTTTGGTAGTACCAGATAGGAAGGTGGGGAGAAGACGGTGAGGATAATATTTACAAGCCTAGACTTAAAACACGAGAGTACAGTCAGCTAAGAAACTGACTGTACTTGTAATTAAGAACAGCAATGTGTTATTTATAATGACAAACAGGTGTTTTGTTTGCCGCTGTTAACTCCACTCTTCTAAGGTAATACTAATTTTTTCCAGAAGTCACAGTGGTGTTAATTCCTTTTTCTTCACATCTTTGCCCATTGATGAAATCCCTTAATAGGAAGGTGTGGTTTATATTCTCATTATAGAAATTAAAGTTACAGAAGCATCCTTGGAAGCTGTTTCTTTTATCCAACATGCTCTTGTGTAAGCAAACTAGACCTATTAAAATGGTGAATGTACTAATATGCAAGTAGCACGCACACCTTTAATTAAGGAAAAGTTACTGGTGTTGGAACTTCTGCAGGTCTTCAGTGAAAACCTGTTAGTTGTCCAAAGCAGGGTACAGGCTGTTTGGTTTGGTTTTAGTAGACAGCAAAAGATGGGGGATGTTGATACTTTCTCTATCAACTTTGTTGATACAAATGTTGATATCTTTTTGTATTCTGTCACAATTTGCATGCTATCTAGCCTACAAGTTAGTGTCACAAATTTGAAGTGTAAGAACTGACCTGAAATTGTTTTGGATGCACTAGACAAAGTTATTTTTAATACTATATCATATGCAATATGTTAAGGGGGTTTGATTTTCCATACGGCATGAAGACCTACATTTTATACTGGAGAGCAAGTCCAGTTATCGAATGAGGAATCATGATAGGATTTTTTTTCCTCTGGTCTATAGTATTTCAGAGTTGATAGGCACAATAAAACAAACAGTGAAGTAAGAACATGATTTTAAGGATTTTAAAATGATGCTTGCTTACACCAATATGCAAGTAATTAGCATACTGTTAATTGTATTCCTCATCATTAGTCTATTAAAGTTTCCAGATATTGAAATCTTACTGCAGGCACATTTAATCCTCTAGCTACATAAGTATCAAGTAATGAGACTTTTTTATTTTCAGACTTAATTTTTAATATATTTGTCTTTATTCAAGAATGGAAATCCTGTGTGCAAAAATACTCATTAAGTTTAAGTTAACCGTAAAACCTATTAGTCTGTTTGAAAGCTGGTAATGACCATTAACCAAATGAACTTTTGAACCTGAGATTAACTCAGCCCAGTGCTAAAATAACAAAAAAAGCCAAGGTTGTAGGTTCAATCCCCTCTATGGGTCATTCACCTAAGAGCTGGGCTTGCTGATCTTTGTGGGTCCCTTCCAGCTCTGAATATTTGGTGATTTCTTTTTCTGTTGTATGGCTCAAACTGAAGCACTGGCATGCTAGATAAGTGTATTTGGACAAATATATTGATCTCAACACATAAAGGTGATACTTCCAGGAATGTAGTTCAACACATCAGTTTGTAACATAGTATTTACAATCTCTGTCTCTCTCTTAAATGTGTGCAACACCAATACTCTACACATTGGGGATGTATGTACCACCTGTGATTGCGAAAGGTGAAATAAGAATCCTGTAATCTCCCCCAGGTCATGTTCTGCAGGCTGTCTCTTGCTGCGTCACAGTCCTCAGCCCCTCTGTGCAATCTCTTACTTGTACAGGTTGGCCTTTGGCTGGGCAATTATGTTGGAGCTCAGCAATTACTGATGTTACTTCAGCTAATGAACATGATCCACAAATTACTGTCTCTGTTCTCAGGGCTACAAAGGTGACAAAAATCTTGTTTGCTTTCAGCCAGCCTGATCTCTTCAGGAAAATGAATTCTTGACTTTTTTTAACTCATATACTTGGCTATCCACTGGCATGTGTTAAAACCTCTAATTACTTCTTTCAGGGACAGGTAGGTAATTACATTTCTGTCACTATCTTTTTGAAAATTGGTAAATCTCAAGTGGATTCAGGCTTTTGCAAAACTGAGAATCACAGCTAGAATATTGTGATGGTACAGGCAATAGCAAATGACCTTGAAATAGTCAAATCTCAGATGACACAGAGGGTGTGTTGGGTCACCCTTATATAAAATACAATTTGAGAATCTATCTTTTTAAACCAAAGGTAATTTTATGTAGTTTTAATGGTTTTCTAGCCTGCAGCATGGTTAGTATTTTTGCTGCAAAAAATACATCACATATTTTGTGGTTTATATCTTGTAAGAAATTGAGAGGGTTCACATGTTCTGGGGATGGAATAGGCTGGAGAACTAAGATAAGTTTTAATTAATTAATTAGGAAAGAGCTCGCATTTTACGTGCACAACTCTGGCTGTCTGATTTTAATGCTAACAAATGTATGGGTATGCTCAGACATCAAAATATGGTGGTCACTTTATGCAGGTTCACTTTATTTTTTATCCTTCTATTTTATATATATTTAGCTATATATCTGTAAGAGTTGTAGCTAATTTTCATCTAAGCTGATTACACTAGAGTGTAGATTGTTATTGTTGAAGAGAACTAAGTACCTGTGCCAAGAGAAGGGTTTTCTTGCAAAAGCTGACATACAAGACATCATGAGTAAAAGCCAGAAAAAGCCTTTACTGGGAAAAAAAAAACCCTCAATGATTTTTCCCAGTTTAAATGGGAGGAATCATGTTAATTGTATGCTGCTAGCTAATTGGTTATATTGCATTCTTTTCTCTAAGAATGGGCCTAAAGTTGCCACAGAAGCATTTTTGATGTAACAAGTTGGCTAGAAAAATTTTTGACATTTCTGTAGCCCATACTACTGAAAAACAAAACAGAGAGCCTTATCAGGGACAGAATGCTAAATACAATTTTAAATCAGCTTTGGGGTGGGTTTTTTTTGTCTTGGCTAGCAACTCTGTGGAGAGCCAGCAATAATGTGCATTATTATGTCAGAGCAACTATGATTATATGCCTTGTCTGTGCAGCTATAAAATGTCTGCTTTAGTGTGAAGTGGAAATACAGACTGTGCACATTGTATAAACTTGCTACTATATATTTAGGGGATAAATGTGCTTTCAGTAATCAGGTAAAATACATGGTCACGAGCTGTCCAGAAAATATTTAGTACAAAATCAATCTCAATATTTTTTCAATAAATTAGCAATTTAATCAGTGTAAGCAGAGATACGATTTTTTTTACAAAAAAAAAAAAAACAAAAAAAAAAACAAAAAAACCAAACCACACTCATAGGATTTATGCATTTTTATAGAGAATATAGTTTTTTCAATTTTTTTTTCTTCAAACCACACCTAAGTCTCCTGGCTGCTGTGCTTTCTGAAAGTTAGCTATAGAAATGCTAACCAGAAAGGGCAGCAGTTAAACAGGAATTCATATGTGACTAGTTTAACTGCAATTTTAGACCAGGAAAAGCTTGATAACTGATTTAGTACCAGTTTGGAAGGACATATCCTTCATCCATTTCTCCAGCTCTGTTAGCATGATAGCTCTCCTTGAATGCTTTTTGTGTAGATAGTTTGGCCCTATTGCTCATACTCATCACTTTGGTTTACCTAATATCAGCGTCTTTTCATTAAATTATGCTGATTCCCTGGGAGATGATGGAAGTAGGTTAATCTATTCCATCATCAACTGTGTTTGTTATACTGTATTGAGCATGTGTATTCATTATGTATTCATTACTATTAGACCTTTTTTTCCCAAGGTATTTTTGTCTTAATTCTGTTTCGCACTGCATTGCAGTAGGCAGTGCAATGGTAAATAAGACCTCATTTAAGGGTCCTGCCTTATTTTGTACACAAAAGTGTACAAAAACTTGGTAACTGGGAATGTTAAGATACACTAAAACCCGGAGCTCTCAAAAAGAAATAGTGGCTTAGCAGCCAGGTGTAGAATGAGGTTCACACTTAAACAAAAATTGAATTGCTTCAGTGAATAGCCATGTCTGAAAAACCAAAATATTTTTTTAAACATTGGAAGACATTAGGAATTCTGAAACACCTCTTTAACTTCAGTATATATGGAATTTCAGAACAGATTTTCTTTTTTTAAGAAAGTAACCTTAAATAATGTCAGCATTTCTTTCTAGCATTGTGTTGAAAGTGGCATTTCAGTCTTTTTCTGTTGCTGTAGAAAGACATATTTTTCAAAGCATGATTTATCTGTGTAACACAGATTTCTAAAACACAGATTTCTAAAATAATTTACTGTCCGAAATACTAACATTCTGAAAATGTATTTTAATTATTGATGTGTGACTTAGCTTTCAAATCTTAAAAATTTATTTAAAAACAGAGCTATGGCTAAAGGCAACATCTTATGCTTTTTCAAATTATTATTATTAGTTTTAGGCATGCTTTTGCTTAAAAAAATGCATGTGTTATTTAACAATTATAACATATGAGAATCTAAATATCACTGCTATTGTAGTTGTTTAATGTGGTGTTTACCAGAAAAATATTTTAAAGTAGGAATGGCTAATATTTTTGTCTTCCACACAGTTTCATGAATATTTTCATGAAATATTTCATGTGAATATTTTTCACATTTTAAATGAATAATTTATTATCTTTCTGTTATATACAACAACACAGAGCTCATTTTGATATCTCATGTTCACAGTTACTGTACAGTCTCTCAAACTCAGTTTAGACAGGTGCAGACTGTTAGCCTTGGAGGAGCTGGAAATAAACACAAATTCAATACGAGTGCCTTTTAATACATAATATCTTCGAAGTGTTAATATACTATGGTCTTTTTCAAATTAAAAATGTCTTCTGATATTTGTGCAACTTACTGTAAAACATTATTTTAAAATAATTTTAGCATGCTAATCTTTCATTATATCTGTGGGTCTCTACCTGCTAATGAAAATAATCTATGCTTCTTAATAATGTACAGTAAAAAACAAAAAATCTTCCATCAATATTTCAGTGATTAGGATTTATTCTACTTTCTAACATTTTTTAATGAAGTTTTTTTCTTTGCTTACATGAACTTAATTGAGATTAACAATCAGATATTTCCCATGTTTAGGTTTACCTTGGATATTCACCTTTAATGTGAAGTTTTATCCCCCTGATCCGTCACAGTTGACTGAAGACATCACTAGGTATGCACAGGTCCTAATTTTAAACTTTAAATTACTGTTAATCTCATTTAAAAGCACATAGAATTTCTTCTTCAGTTTCTGGGTACTGCCATTATAGATATTCTTACATAAATCGACTGCTTTTTGGAACAAGGTTGGAAAGGTAAAGTGAAAACTACTGGAAAAAAACTGGATCAAGAAGAATTTAATGATAAGTGGGGATATGATTTTGGCAGCAGATAAGGTGTGAGTGAGAGTATGTGAAAGAAGCCAGTGGTTTATTGTCAGACTGCTGCTTTGTAATGAAACAAATGAGGGCAAGGGGGTCTTGAGCAAAGCTCAAGGGATCCAAGGTACTTCAGTAATGATGTAGACCAGGTGGATGAAAATGTGAATTTACCCATGTGCTTTAAATAAAGCCATAAAACAGAATAAAACCTGGAAATAATTATCTTCCAAATTTCTTAGATAGAAAATACTTGGAATGTGGTGGACACTAAGCACCTAAAAGTAGCATTGCAAGGCTGATTACTGGAGATAGAGTGCAGGGAACTGATTCATTTTTCTCATGAATTACAGGAAACCTAAATATTTTTGTTTAGAGTTAGCTGGCTGCTGAGGCAGGATATGTGTTACTACTACATGTTGCATTGAATTAGTCTTCTGCACAAAATAAGATAACTATGCAAGAATGCAGCTAATACATTGCTACAGATAGGGATTTAAAAAAAAAATCTCTGCTAAGGTGGGCATGTCTGCTGATGTTTAACTTGTTAAATTTGGTGGAAGGATGTATACAGTACCTGAAAGACTGAATTCTAATACCTACATGGTTTAAGAAAGGTAATTATGGTTTCAGTATTACATGTGTATTGCATGACATGATTAGCATGTGAACTGCAAGAGATATAAAAGTTCAAAACCAAAGGGAAATGTCAAAGAAATGCATAGCTTATATTTTTAAACCATATTTACCTACAGGCTACAATGTGAACTAAACAAGTTCCCAAATCAGCTTTTGTTTAAAACTAGATAGCTTTTTACTCATTTCTATTGGAAATCAGAATTTTTCCTGTTTTTCACAATTTTTATGAAAGTAACACTGACCCTTAAAAATCAAGTGAAATTTACTGTGTGGTAATAAAGCTCAAATAATATAAGGTCATTATGAATGCATTCACTTACTTTAAAACACACTTACCCAATTACATGCATCTTGATGAATTCTGCCGTATTTCTCATTATGTACAATAGGTAACCCTTTCTTTGTTCTTCTTTGTCTCTGGTTGTTTTTTTCTCCTTTGTCTTGCAGGTATTTCTTGTGCCTTCAGCTTCGCCAGGATATTGTATCTGGCCGGCTGCCCTGTTCTTTTGTGACTCACGCCCTCCTTGGTTCATATACCCTGCAGGCTGAGCTGGGTGATCATGACCCAGCAGAGCACAGCAGTGATTATATCAGTGAATTCCAGTTTGCACCCAATCAGACTCAAGAAATGGAAGAGAAAGTGGCTGAGCTACACAAAACACACAGGTATGTCTGATACAGTGAGATTAAAAGAAGTCATCATGCTTTGTCACATTTATGTCAGCTCTTCTAAGAGTGTGTGTAAAACTGCTGAGGTCAACTTATTGTTACTTTGGAAATAATTTCTTATGTAACTAAAAGCTCTTACTGTAATGTGTTTAGACAGTTGAGTTTGAAAATAGTAGTTGCACTGAGGTCTTGATAGGGAACTTTTGGAAAAAAGTATTTTTATATGAATCAGTTTAAGCAACATGCATCTGGTTGAAGGAGTAAATATAGAAATCTGTACTCAAGTAAAATAATATGCTGTGAAAGAACACTTTTCCTGTAGAGCAAAAATGCTCTTGATACCTTATAAACTGAGGTTTTTTCTATCAGTCTGAATTCCAGGATTCCACTAAGTTTTGATACTCAGTTTCTTGCTGATAAACTCAAAGTTTGTTCAATGGTTTCAGGGGTTTGACTCCAGCACAGGCGGATTCCCAGTTCCTAGAAAATGCTAAGAGACTTTCCATGTATGGAGTGGATTTACATCATGCCAAGGTATTGGGGATTGGGTTTGCTTGGTTTTGTTTTAGGATAGACATGCTAAGTATTAAAGAAAATACTGTATATACAGGTTATTTTTTAAAAAGTCTGTTATTTTTTAAAGGCTGTAGGCCTTTATCTCTTGGTTATAATAATTACTCAATTTACAACTCTAACATCAGTAGAATTTATATATAAGTTTATTTAGTGCATGGACTAAATAACATGTGCAGCTTGGAAATAACATTTCACTCCTAAGAACAAATAAAGACATTTAAAATGTCATATTTTCTATGCCAAGGACATGCAGGGTCAATAAAGTAAAGCCTAAAGGAACATGTAATTGTTTTCATAGTACCATGATGTGAGTTTGTGGGCCCCAAATTGGGCAACTCCCTGGGAGCTCCCCTGGCAGGAGCAGTTCTGTGTCAGGAATGAGAGACACATTGGACTTTTTCGGTCTTCAGCCTCTGTTTGTTGTTATCTTATCAAAACATCAGCACACAGTCTGCACCAGACTCTGTGTACAGGAAAAACAGCACAAAAATGGCCGACAATCTCTTGTTGCAAGGTCTTTTAAGTCCAATCAAAAACTAAGCTACCCAATTAAGAAGTGACGCCTAAATTATTTTCCTTTCTAACCCAATAACTGACCCCTAAAAACCTGCAATGTAGACTTTTCTACCCAATTGCAAGATACCACCTAAACCCAAACAGAAAGAGGAAGAAGAAAGAAGGGAACTCAACACCCATCTATAACATACTAAAAATCCTAAAATCTAAATTTTTCACCCATGTGACATACTATGCTACTCTCTACAATCTCTACAATCTATTTCACATTTTTGTGGTTTATAGTTTACCTTGAGGATTTGGAAGTTTTCTCCATGAATGAGGGTCAAAGTCAGTGCTCCCCTGGGGGTCAGGACACCCCATAGCAGACAGAGAAATATTCCAAGTTACCTGAGTTTTCACCATGAGAGTTAAAAAATATGGAGAGGAGGTTGTGGGGGAGGATTTTGGTGCTTTTTCCACTTCCTGGGGTAGGTCAATTTAAGTTTTCATTTCAAGTGTGAATTTTTTTTTTTTGTTTTGTTAAAACCTCATAAGACAAACTAATAACCTCCTCCCACTCCCTCTCATAAATCCAGAATCTCAAATCATTAGTAAACTTAAGGTATTGCAAGCATATCAGTCTTGTATTTAAAAAAGAAAACCAAGACTTTTAAGTACTGGAGAAACATGGTTAAATTTTGTTTTGTTAGTTCTGCCAGTGAAGCAACTCTGTAATGACAGTGTTGGCATTTGATGTAGTTGATCTGTTGTTGGGGAGGACATGAGATTCTGCTGTATTGTGTAGTGTATCAGTAAGTGATTAGTTTTGTAAGCCCATAAAACTAGCATCAAATGCTGTCAGTGAAAGAGAATGCTCAGAAACCTATCCATTACCTCCTCTATGTTTGATGGAATAGTACATGACTGTAAAAGATCACCTTGATCACCAGCTTGTTCAGACTTCCACTGACTGCTTTATATGGGACAGTCTTGGTTGTCATTTTTCTTCTTTTAATATTTGTCGAAATTATTGCTGGCACACACATTGGCCATACCTTTCCTGCTTTTAAATTGTTATCTTAGTCCCTATTACCAGAATATTGAAGAATTTCCCAGAACTGTGGCATATGAATGCCAAAACCATTACTAAGAGTCCAAAGTGTTTCCTATAAAATTAATATACTTGGCTATTTCTGTTTTAAGAATCTTATTGTCAGAGTCAGGTTTGCATATGAAACATGTCCCAGTTATGATATTCCCTCAAGGTATGTCAGCAATAATTACTTGTTTGGAATGTTATTGAAGTGATTTTTATGAAATTGTTTCATACCTGGTAGGATTCTGAAGGTGTGGATATCATGCTGGGTGTATGTGCTAATGGTCTGCTGATTTACAAAGACAGACTCCGAATCAACCGCTTTGCCTGGCCAAAAATTCTGAAGATTTCCTACAAGCGAAGTAATTTCTACATCAAAGTCAGGCCAGCAGAAGTAAGTAGCACCTTTCAATTTTGTTTCTTTTGTGACATCATTTCTGTCCAGCAACAAGAAACATCCTCATTTTTTCCACAGTTGTCCTCAGAAGTTTATGATATATTCAAGCCGAACTTAAGAATGTTTTTTCCTCTACAGATTCTAATGATTGTATTAAACATCTGTCTTGATTAGTAAAAGTAAACCAAGAAGACCTTTTTTTTTTTTTTTAATAGAAGCTGTCTTGTTATTTTATTGGGTTTTTTAGGCAAAAAGCTAGTTACATTGGCCATATTCTGACTGTGCAAATTTGCAGTCTTGGGAGAGAGCCAGCTGCTCTTCCCCTTTGGGTGTAATTGTCCATTAAATGTCAGCACCTTAAGTTTGTGTCTGCAACCAAAGGCTTGAGTTCTTCAGTAGAATGTTATAACTTTGTTAGCTGCCATGGAAGTAGTGGATTCGACTTTCTCTTCAGTTACTGCTAAAAGTTTCTGGGAATTGCTGAAGGGGCTGTGTGCATGTTAACATTTTGAACCCTTTGTAACAGGAAATTTTAAAAAAACCCAAAATGTCAAATATTCTAATGCTCTTTAAGTTTATACTGTAAAGTGTTTAAGATGGCTTTTACTTTGTGAATAAATAAAATAAAAGAGACATCCAAACATCAAGTTTACAATACTAACATTGCAATTATGTAAGTTTTCTAATGCAGATGTATTGTTCTTGCATTCACTGATGCTGTTCATGGATTAAGTATTTTTGCTAAGAAAGTATTATATAGTGATACAGATCATATAAGTTTAATACTGCCATATAGATTTCAGATGTTTATTAAATCCAAGCAAAGTGCGAAGCACAACCTGCAGTACAATTACTTCATGCAATTTAGCCACCATGATATAGCCTACCAAGTATAATTCTTTTAAAAGGCTGGAAATTCTGACATTTAAAAGTAAATTTTAAAAATCTTATTAAGTCTTATGGCAGGAATATTACAGCTTGATACAGTAATGGAACTATCTGAATTCTACCTCTTAATTAAAAGCCAGGTTAAGGAAATTGATTAATTTATTTGTGGATTCCTTCCAGCTGGAACAGTTTGAGAGCACTATTGGGTTCAAACTGCCAAACCATCGGGCTGCTAAAAGGTTATGGAAGGTTTGTGTGGAGCACCATACTTTCTTCAGGTAAATGATAATTCTATCCTTCCCTCACTTTGCAAGGTATGCTCATATCTTTCTTTTAAAGGGTGGAGGAAAGTAAAGATTTCCCCCTTCTTTGCCCCTTACAGTATCACCTGTTAGACAGAAGATACCCTGACAATAACTGACCCCAAATCACCAATTTCTAAAGTCTCAAGTACAATTAACTGCTGTATCCAAACTTCCAGAGTGCTAAGAGGATGGAACTAAACAAGTGGTCATGGAGCACTGGAGGTATGCAAGAATTGCCTGGCCTCAGTCCTGTGCCATGTGCTCTGGAATGACCCTGCTTGAGCAGGGAGGTTGGAACAGATGCCCCGCAGTGGTCCCTTCCAACCTGATACATTCTGTGATTTGTGGTCTGTTTTCTTGAGAGACTGACTTTTCAGAATCACCATCTAAAAAGGCCTTATACATCATCACAAGAGGGACTTGACAGTAATCTTCATTTAATTTATTTGAACATTCTACTGAGTGTAAATGCTTCTAGCTGAACTTTTCCTTATTTATGAACTAGGTTGAGTTCACAAATTCACAATCATTCTTCAAAAAACAGAATCACTTTAAACAGACTATTTGTTTATATAGTAATCCGTAACATCCTCTGCATTTTTTTTTTCTCCAGCAATTGAGGAACACAGAACGCTGAATTGGTCATTAAAACTGTGATCTATTTGTAAATGAGCACCTTAACAACGGGCCTCAGAGCTGTTCCTCTGTCTACTTTCTCCACTAAAAAGGATTTTGACATTGTTTCATTTTTATAACAACACACATTCCATGAGGGTGTGCATGTGCTCCCTGCAGCCTAGGAGCCACAGATTTAGGTTGAATCTCCTATGAATTGGATAGGCATTGAATCTGAGTTTTTGCTTCAAAGCACAGTACCTAGGTACTGGTACCTGTGTAATGGTAAGCTTTCTCCTTCAGTAGCCTGTTTGTTAAAAAAAAAACCAGTTGTGTTTTAAAGTAGATGCAATCCTGTTGCTGAATATGCTTAGTAGACAGAACTTCAGAGAACTTGGGGACCAGGAGGTCTAAGCAGATGATTACTGGAACTGTCTCATTGGATGGTTTTCAGTATTCAGGTTTTCATTGAATGTAGCATGTTCTTGAATGCAAAGGTAGAACTTAGGCTGAAGTTGCCAAATCTCAGCATAAATCAGTCTCCAAATGCTTAATTTAGAAGCACTTCTTTTTTAAATCCTGATCTGACTTTTTTTTTCATGTTGATAGGATTAATTTATTAACACAGTCCAGCATTCTATTCTTGAAAATTTGAAGTCTGCTTTGGTTGGTGGTCTCTGGCCACAAATAGCATGCAGTTCTGTCTACAGTGAAGAGTTTATTAATACTCTTCAAATAACTCATGCAGTGATTTGCTTTGTTGGTAAGATGCATTTCCTAGTTTTATAGTAATAAAATAGACCTGAATAAGGAAAAAGCAAATCTTATGGAAGTCAAAAATCCTAAACTGACAACTCCCATTTGCGAGTCTGAAAGCTTTCAGGGCATTAATAGCTATGAAATAACCTTACTACAGAAATTCTGACATAATAAAAATAATTGGATTTTATTCCAATCAGAAGTGGCTTTTCCTAACCAAGAATGACATTATAACAAGAATTATGTAACAAATACTTGAACCGTTCTGTAAATCCATATACTCCACTGATGTCATCAGAGACAAAATCCTTAGAATCTCTCATCCTGATTTAAAAACAGTAAAATAAAGCCAGCTCTATTTCCCTTCAAAGATAAAAAGCAGAAAGCAATTGCTACAGTCCAAGAGACTGTAGCTCATCCAGAGCTTGTGTAAAGCTTGTGTATGATGCCACAGTGAATTGTATACAGTTTAGATGCATATTTTTAGCTTCCAAATCTCTTAGCATGTCCTATATAACATGGTAAGATTCCTTGTGTTGTCTTATGTAATGCTTCAGTTTGTCTCAAATAATCACAATAAGATCTGTTCTGATAATGTATAGGAATTTCACTAGTATATGAAGCTATTTATAAAAATTGTAATGAACTGTATTGAAAAGGACTACCAAAGGGCATTGTATTCACTTGTTATCAGCTCAAACTTAGAGGATTCCAGTAGCGTTTTCAAAGAGCAGCAATCTACATAAAAAATGCAGTCAAATCATATATCTACATAAAAGTTTTGAGGTAAGCTTCGTTGACAGCTCTGGATCTTAACCAGTGCCTGCAGAAATGTGCTTTTATTTCTGCTTTATGATATTTATTTTATATTTGCATGATTTTTTCAGTATCTCCTCAGAATGTCTTAAAGTGGTAAAAACATAGTTTTCAGTTATTTTACGTAATTAAACCTGTAATACAACAATCCATTCAAATACCCTTAATCAGGAAGTAATTAGTTATCTTGTTTTTTCCTCATTAAAAGATTAAAAGTTTATCTCAGCGGGGTGGAAGATAAAAATGGCAGTTAATGCTGCAACCTTGCCAAGACTGGAAAATCAATAACTGAAGGAACCTGGGAAAAACCCTTTTAGCCTTCTTTGTCCTAGTACATAATGCACTCCCTCTTGGAAATACTGGGGAGAAAGACTAGTCTTGAATTGTTTTCTTTATAAATGTTGGAACAGATTAAGATTTGCATTTTAGACATGGGGAATTGTATGCTTCTGGCTAGTGCTCCAATAAACATCCCCTCTTATGGGAAAGGGGGGAAGGTGTTTTTAAGATTTAGGTTTACTTCTAATTTTCTATTCTGATTTGATTGATAAGAAATTAAATTAATTTATTCACAAGTCTAGTCTGTTTTGCTCATGAGGGCAATTGGTGAATGATGTCTCCCTGTCCTTATCTCACCCATAAGCTGCTTCTTACATCTCTCTCTTTTGTCCAGCTGAGAAAGGGGTGTGTCTTCGATGGGGCCCTGGTATCAGCCAGGATCAGCTCACCACAGCTCACTGTTCTGTTTGCTAGCCATCTGAAAATTCTTCAGTTTTGCTGAAACTCATTTAGAATGACTGTTGCAGTCTTCAGAACCCAGTACTGGATAGTGCCTTTACATATGTTGGATCGGATTTTTCTGACACAGATATTTCTGTGCAAGTGCTTCGGAAGAGGGGAACAAAGTCAAACAGTGTGAACTCTTGCTTGCCCATTTGTTCCATCCTCAGTACAAATGGCACATGATTTACTGGTTATGATTGAAAGAAGTTTATGTTCAGTGAGCTGCTCATTCTTTGCAAATTCTCAAATCAAGAAGCTTTGTCTGCAATAATCTGATAGTTTTATAGGGAGAGAGAGAGTGGACCATAATGGGTGAGCATGTATTGTAACATTACATTGATCCAGAAAACAACTTCAAAGGCCTTTCCAGAGCACTGGGGACTGGGAGGAGTTTCTTGCAGTGATGACTGTTTGCTTTATCAGCAAGGATAGCAGTGGACCCTCAGTGTTGCAGCTGATGATCAGATTTCAAAAACAAAATAGAGGCAATAGGGTTAGATGAGTATGATCTTGAAGTCTGAAGTTACTGAAGGAAATTCAGGGATGTAGAAAGGATGGGATGTCTTCAAACTCACGTGATGATGGTACAGAATCACCGAATCAACCAGGCTGGAAAAGACCTTAGAGATCATAAAGTCCAACCTATGACCTATCACCACCTTATCAACTAAACCATGGCATAAAGTGGCGCATCCAGTCTTTTTTTAAACACCTCCAGTGACAGTGACTCCACCAGCTCTCTGGGTAGCCCATTCTGGACTTTCTGGCAAGGACTCCAACACTTATTGTACAAACACACATACCTGACATTAAGAGTACATATAACTCTCTTTCTCACCCTTTTCACAATATGCTTCTTCCCCCACTCCTTATATCCAGCAAACATCAACCTATATAATTTTATAAGTGACATTGTAAAGAACGTAGAGTCTGAATGTAGACTGTTAAACTTTTTGCTGTTGGGTAACAACTCTCCAGTCTTCTCAATCTTTTTTCACATGATAGTCCCTTTTATACACCTTTGAGAAACCTTCCCTAACTTTGTGGAAGAGCAGTTGCTGTATTGGTACATCAAAATATAGGAAAGGTAGTGGAAGTGGGATGTATAGCTTTTGCCATAAGTAACATTCTAAGGCTGAGAGGTATTCTACATGACCTATAATGGCTTCAGCTTTCAGGTTTTTCTACAAAAAATTAAAATGTAACCAAAATAGCACCAAAAGATAAGAGTCCCAGATGCTTAGTCATGCTGTGGAAAAATGTGATGGTTACCAGCATTACTCCAACTGCAAACAATAAATAACATGCATTGTCTAAAAGATCTTTGAAGAGCTTACAGTAGAATCCTTTCTTGGAAAGCACAAACTATGCACTGTGAACTGAAGCTGAAGTACAATAAGTAGCTTCAAATTAACTCATTAAATACTTAAAATAAAGCCTTTTACACTGACTTAGTTCATATTTCCCTTTCAGACTTCTATCACCAGAACAGCCTCCCAAAGCGAAGTTCCTGACCTTGGGTTCCAAGTTCCGCTACAGCGGCCGTACGCAGGCGCAGACACGACAGGCCAGCAACCTCATAGACAGACCAGCTCCGTACTTCGAACGCACTTCCAGCAAGCGTGTTTCCAGAAGCCTTGATGGAGGTATGAAATTTGAGTTATTTTTTCAGTGTTGTGATTACATTATGTGTTGTCACTCTGACCTGACCAGCACTGGTAAATGTTAACGTTGCGGATGGCCAGAAGGTCATTTGACAGATTTATAAATTTCAATTTCTAAAGCCACTTTAGGTACTTGTCAGTGTTAGGTGACCTAAACATTAAGTTCAGTTACTGCCTAAATGGTATGGCACTGCTGTGGGTATATGGAGCTCACTATCTTGGGTATGTAGCATCTATGTACACTACTCATACCTTTTTGAAGGCATAGGCACACACTAGAGGCTCTTAATAAAATTGTTTAGTCAGTGGCATCTTTTGAGATCTGGGTTGGTCTTGCGCTTCTCTAAACAAAAAAGGCTGAACAAATTGTTCCTTAGAGTTTTCCATCATTTTGTTCAGTATATTGCTATCCTAGTATATTCAGTACCTCAGTGTTTAGTTAAACATTTTTACGTTCACTTTGAATAGCTAAAGGGTTTTTTTTGTCATTACTGGTATTTGGTCTTTTTGAGCAGAAATACCTTCTGGTTTCCTTTATTGGAAACAGGCATTCTTTCCAAAGGCAGGTATAGCAACACTATGTGTGAGAGATGTAAAAGCACATGTTTTACTCAAAATCACTTCTGCAATGATATATAATAGAAAAAAACTATAGCAAAATAACATGAAACTTGACTTAGATTCAGGCATGCACAACCTCACTGGAATAAAAGTGAACCATGATAGTGATGCGAGTTTAGCTACAATTGAGCTGTTAACTTTATCGTATTTTCTTAAAAAAAGTCTTTTACTTATAAAAGTTTTACTTTAGCAAATGTTCATTCTGTGTACTATGAGAAATGAACAAACTGTGACACTTCCTTGGGAAACCTACCAAATCTTACCTTCTGAGAACTAAAGTAAAAATATGAGGCAAAAGTCCTTGCACCAGTATAGCACATAATGACTTCTTGTGGCAACCAAAAGACCCAACACCACATCAATGTTTCTGAATCTAGTTTTGTTCCTCTTCTTCTTTTGGCTAGAAACAATTTGAATTCTTCACAACTCTCAACAGTTTTATAATCAAGCCTCTCTGGCATCCCTTTTACATCATCTACAGAATACAGGCACACAGGCATATATCTTCAGGTCCTAACTTTCACTCTTACAGAAACATCAGGGTCAAAATTTTGACCATGATGAAACAATGTTCTGAAAGCAGCTTTGCACAAAAGGATCTGGAGACTCCTGTAGAACAGGTTGAACAAGAGTGAACATGAGAATGCTGACTGTATCCTGGGCTGTATTAGCAAAAGTGTAGCCAGCACATCAGAAGAAATTATAGTTCCTCTTTATTCAGTACTTTCTGAGACTGTGCCTGAAATACTGTGTTCATCTTTGGGCTCCACAGTACTAGATGGGCAGTGACATATTACAATGAACTCAGTGAAGAGCAGCAAGCTGGCCAGAGGGCTGGGGGCTGTGATATATCAGGAGAGGCTGAGAGAAATGTGGTCCTTCAGATTTAAAAGGAGAAGGCTGTAATGAGGTATTGCTGTCTACAGCTACTGACAGGGAGACTATAGAAAAAACAGACCCATGTATTTCTCAGAGGCACCTGGTGATGAGGCAGTGAGGTGTGCCTGCAAGTTGAGACACAGCAGATTTCAGTTACAAGTAACAAATTTTTGCCTGTTTAAAAAGACCTTGGAGGTACTTAAAACTCAACTGGACGAGCCCTTGAGCAATCTGGTCTAATCTGACCTTCTCTGAGCAGGGGTTTGGACTAGCTGACCTCTGGATGTTCCTTCTGACCTAAGTTACTCTGACTTATCAAAACTTACTGAGCAATGTATACCCAAGAAATGCTCTCATTTGCCACCCACAAAGGGATCAGAAATTGAAGCTGCAGAACTTATAGAGAAGAGACTTCCCAAAAGCCTTACATCCCAAATGCCACATTTCCCATTAGCTGGGCTTGGCTTCTTAGCATCTTAAGGGCATCTCTGGTGTGAAGCTTAGACTTTTTGAAGGAGGATATCCCTCAAAGGTACTCCAAGAAACACCTCTTCCTCTCAGCTTTAATGGAGGTATTAGATAACATTACTAAATGAATTAAGTTTCTATCAAGGTTGTATTTATTAAAACTCCTTCATTTAATGAATTCTCTTCTATTTCATTACTACTATTTTGATTAAGCCACTCATCATGATTTAAAAAAAGATCCATCCTTCTCATTAGTCCTGTTAGGCTGAGTCAAATAAGAGGAAGATAATTTAAGGCCTTTCACTCTCTTGTGCTTTGTCTATATTCAAGTATACATTATTAGTATTTCCCCCTTCCATTTTTTGCAAGCATATAGGGAGGAAAGTTCTTACTTTCACTGAGTTGTTTGTGCAGTTTTGCTAAAGTTCTGGCAAAAAATACTGTGACAGTTATATGCATAACTGTTTCTAGATTGCATTAAAGTAGTCCTCTCAAATAGTGTATTTCCACAAAACACTCTTCCATATTTCTCTCTCTTTCTGATGGTGATTTTTACACCCAAAAGATCATTACCTACTATTTATCTTCCAAGACTAATCAAGAAGTTGATAAATACTTGTCTGATACTGTGAGAGTATTTTCCATACAAAAAAAGTGCAAGTTTTATGATGGGGTACTTCGCTATTCGTACCAGTGCAATGGGAACCACAGATTGTTTGTAAAGCTGAGAAGCTGAAAAATACTATATCACTTAGTAACTAGCCTGTATTGATCATTGCTGACATCATTATAAAGTGTTTTTCCTAAGAAGATTTAAAACCAAAATGTTTCAGCTTCTCTAAATTAGCCAAAATTATTTTATTCTCTAATAGCTCCCATGGGTATTTCAGACCAAGGTCTTGTAAGAGACTTCTCTGCTGCTGGAGGGCAGGCTGCTGGAGATAAAATTATTGATCTTGAAGCTGCTGGTCAGGCCAAGTTAAAAGAAGGTGGCAGAGAAGAAGATGAAAGTCCACTCAAAACTCCACAATTAGAATTTACTCAGGATGGAAAGGTATGTCTGACTTTTACACCAAAATTATTTATTCATGTGAATGTGTGCATCCATGTGAGGTTATTTAGTGTCTATCAGTTCTGAGTATCATATAAAGGAAAATTGTCAAGTGTTTTCTGTGTGTTTAAATTAATGTAACCATATGTAAGCAAAAGAGAATACAAACTTTTAAATGGCACTGACCTAGATTTTCTTTTATTGCTGTAAATATCATTTAAATGCTCAATAAGCTTGCATAAGTTCTTGAAAAAAATGTTTAAAAGGGTAAATCATGTTTTATTCACTTCCTTAGTTTAGACTTGAGTAAAAATGTTAATATACCATGGTTATGTACAGTCTACAGAGCTGGGTATATTATGACTGAGCTTTATTACCATGGATAACAATTTTCTTTTAGTAGCAATTGCTGAACTTGTATTATGACTAAGGTATAGATTCCTGTGAAAAGTTAAGTACTGTGATCTGTTCCTGTTGCAATTGTTTGCTTGTCTTGTTTGTTTCAGCTACAGGAGGATTGTAAAAAAATTTAATCTATATTTTGTATGATTTGATGTAAAAGTTTCCTCCCAAAGTGCTTGTGCTGCTCATTCTCTCTTGGAGATCATTTCTATTTCAACAATTCTCCAGAACTTAGTTTAATATTTAAAGAGTAATTTTGTCCGCAAACATTTTTGCAAGTTAGCTACCCATTTTATTCTTGGTGAGACTGCTGAGTTTCTCTCTGCAGTTTATATGTTCCCACTGCATACAAGTGTAGGAAGAGAGCAAATAACACAGCTGCATTTTTTTGTTTGCTGGTAAGTTGAAATAATTTTGAAATATATGAAAAAAAAGGCACACGCAGTTTCTTTATGGGAGAAAAATAGTAAAATAAATTACTATGCTTTGCCTTTGGGCTTGGTTAAATGGTGATTCTCCCATGTTCTCAAAGTGGTGTATCTTTCAATATTTTCACCAAGGGAGGGGAAGGCAGTATTTTGGAAGGTTGTTCCAGGAAGCTGTTCAGTATGGTTTTGTTACATGCACTTATTCTATGAACAGCTTTTCCTCTTTGCCCTAGTGGAGATGCTTCTTTTCCTTTTTGGTTCTCTTTAAGTCTTAGAGAAAACAGTTATAAACCCAAGAAGTGCCAGCTTGTCTTTTGTGTACTGCACTGTCCTCTGACCTTTCTGCTAAAGCTCTGGATGTCTGTCTGCTTCTATCTGTTTTAAGTGACTATTACAGTTCAAAAGTGCACAGTTCTTTACAGCCTGAGAACAAAACATTTAGAATGGGTTCCTTTCATAATCCACAGAAGTAAACAAGTTGGCTGCTTGTAAAATACGGTGGGATTTTTATTTCTATTGCATTAGTAAAGCTATCCCTTCTTCTAAGTAAAAGTTTTCACTAACTAATAATTTCTCTTTTTTCCCCTTTTCATGTGCCTTCAAACCTGCATTTTTGTTGTGCTTTCATTTTTCACCGTGCACAGAATTCTTTTCTTCAGCTCACTCACATACACCCGTCATCACTGCCCATCTATCCTGTGTCATCCCATCTCACAAACTTGTCACCTGTCCCTGAGATCGACATGCTTTCAGATATTTCAGAGGAAGATCCCTTTGAAGAGCCCCTCCTTACCATTCCAGACATTTCAGAGTGCAGTTCCATGGAACAAACATCAGATCATAATAAAACCGGAACAGCTTCACCAATTAATACCTTTGAATCTATGAGACCCCTAGCTAGTCAAGGCTCCCCTGCTGTTGAGGGAAGAATCCATACAAATGACTACAAAAGCACTGAGTTGTGCGTGTCATGCAGCTTCTTCCGATGCCTTTCTTTTAGTTTCCGTTCGTTGCTTGATGAGGATGGCTATATTACTTTTCCTAGCCTTCCTGATATTTGCATTTCTTTCCTCCCACCTGGCCTTCAGCACTATATTCCTATTACCTCTCCTTCCTTCATCCCCTCTTTTCTCCTTGTCTTTGTCCTGCTTCTGTCTGCTTTCCAGTCTGTTCCCTTTTCACTCACATTTTCCCTTCCTCTTGCTCTGTCCCTCTGCTACCTGGAGCCTAAGGTGACTTCCTTTAGTAGCTCTAGTGGCAATGACCTGAATGACAAAGCAGAGGAAGAGGAGGTGTGTAATTTTGCTGCTTAAATGTTGACTCTTGCACATTGCATTTATGCTTGTTCTCACAAGGCTTGCTCAGTTTTGCACACTTCCTAGTTTAGAGGTGTGTCTGTGTACATGCCTGTAAATACATATATCAATACACAAATGCACATGTGTATATCTATATCTTTTTAGCATTTCTCATTTGTGAAAAATTGCCATTGTGGGATTTTTAGTCAATAGATAGCTTATGGTTTTTCTGCCTAATTTCCTATAGCATGCATAATCTCATTGAATTCCACAGATACTAAGCTGCAGGTGGGCTTGCATTGTAGTTCAAAATGTTAATGAGGACATAAAACTGAATACTGAAAGTGCTCTGTGTAATAATAGATATGTTATTTGATACTATTTGCAAGTTCTATTTGCACTGTCAATTGGTTTTAAAATGCCTGTCTCCCGCATGCATTGACTGGAATGTGCATCTCTGAAGTTCTGTTTAGATCTGAAAAATGAAATTCCTAAAAGCTGAATTCAGAAAACTGTGAATACTTTAAAATCAGTGTTTTGATTTCAGATGTTTCAGCTCTACAAGGGTGTGTGCAAAGCTGAGTCTGCCCAAGGCACATTTTCTTTTTTTACATGCTTTGATTAATCTCTAGCAGCAGTTGAGACTGATTTAGTTCATTAGCTGGGATGGCAGGTTATGTCAGACTGTGTCACTAGAATCTGAGCATTCTTTGGAATACACTGCTAAAATGTACAGAAGCCTCAGTCACACCAGTATGTTGCTCTGATCATCTGGAGTGGCTGACATACTGCCTACTTTCTTTATGTCTGCTGCACATGTTACAGCAATACCACTAGAAAAAGGTCTTCTATTTTGATCCTCAAAGAAAATATTAAACCAATTATTATAGAATCAAAATGGAGGAGGATCTGTTTAGTGTTACATTTAACAAAGTTTGCTAAACCCATGTACATATTAAAGACCTGCTGAATAAGACACGATGCCATTATAATACCAGTCTAAGTATAAAATAATGAAAAATATGACTTTAAGATTTTCTCAGTTTTTCCATAGCCTAATCCAATCAATAATTTTTAGTGTAGTTACAGAAAATACAACCCCAGATAAGTCAGAAATTAATAAAAATGTTATATGTACCATATCATGCACACAGAATCCAAAATGCAATAGTATGAGCAGTAAATCCATCTTCAAATTTATGGATTTGCACAGTGTTGACTTGTAAATCTTTTCCTAAGATTGCCAGTTGATATTATTACTTGTCGAGAGACAACTGGGAAGTGTTTCACTTTATAAAGAATGCTGTCCCTTAAGGCATTCAGAATACTTGGAGATGAGATATGAAGATTACCTACAGAAAATTACCAACAGAATTAATTGAAGTTTAAAAATAAATATATTCACTTAACAAGAGGTGTATGTGTATATGTGCAAATAGCTCATCCCAAGACAGTAATGTTCCTAAAATTGAAGACAGTTTGTAAATACAGTGTTTAAGTGTTTGACTTGAACCCTAAACTCTTTTCCCAAATGAACTCCTGGATTAGATTCCATTTTCCCATCAATTTGTTGCAGAATTTAAGTCACTTACCATATAAATTATACATATCATTTTTGTTTGTTACTCATTCTTAAATTTTCACCTGGGAAACAATAAAAAAAAAAGTGCAGCAAGAAAGGGACACAGTGTGAAACTTCCATTTTTCATGCCACTTATGCCAAAAGTTACTTCAGCCATTCTACAACAATGTAGGTGCAAGAAGACCCAAGTCGCTTAATTTCAACATCTGGGGCCGAAAGAGTAAAGGTCTGTAAAATCCAGCACGCTTTGCAGCATTTACAAAGAGGTGAAGCCTCTGTGTTAGTCTGTAAGCCAGTGTTAACTCTTCCTTTTCTTGATAATTTGTCATGCACTCGCACAGGTGGAATATGAAGAGGAGGAAGCACAGCAGAAGGTGCTTGGTTGTTCTTTTACAATTGAACCTGGCTGTGGCTGCCTGCCTTGTTAGCATCCTAAATTTTCTGTTAAATTTTGTTTTGTCTGAATAGTGCCTTTTCACCTCACCATTTTATTTCCTTTATTTAACTGTCTGATTGTAAGGGTCCTTTTTTATTTACTTGCTGGTCCATTTTACGTTCTTTATGTTTTGTTTTGTTTTTGTTTTCTTTTTGTTTATGTGGTTCAATTTCACAGATCAGTTCCTTGAGAGTAGACGGGGAAAATATTTATGTCAGACATAGCAATTTAATGTTGGAGGTTTGTATGTAATACAAAAAGTACTCTCCATTCTCACGGGCTGCCAGGCTGCATGGGATGGGAGGTCACCTGCAGGCTGTTACGGCCACACTGCATGAAGTGCATGGGGAAAACCGGCTTGGAAATGTTGCATGTTACCATTCTAGTTTCTGAGTTTAAACAAACAAAAGCAAAATACCCACAACCAACCCTCAGCTTGAACACTGAATGTAAATTTGTGTATTTTTTGCTAAATGTTTTCAAGGTGGCAACTGGGAATAATAGCCCTGTTTAGATACAGCAGGCATATGGGTGCAATTCATAATTCTATATGAATTTTTGTACATTGTACCTCAATGTTTGCAAATTCAAATGAGTAGAGTTTCCAGCTTTTGCCAGTTTAATCAACCTTCCTCAAATACATGAGCTAAATAAATAAAGTTAGTAAGGGGCAAGCAGTAAAAGTATAGAAAACTAATTCTGGTTCTGACACTGGTTTTAGGAACATTGAAAAATGATGCAAGGATCAGATATTCGAAGGGAATGTTTGGATATTTTCTGAAATATTTGCTTTTTTTTTCCTTTTCCAATGGAAGTAAATTTTGCTTCTTGAAGGTTGGTTTTCATTGCAGATGAGCAACAGCAAAGAGCTTTGAACAGTATGTTCATGTGTAGTGCATTGTCACCGAAGGAGAGATTTTTATTATAAGAATTTTCATATGATTGTTGATCTCAATTATTTTATCAGGGACTGTAGTAATTATTAGTATCATTTAACTTGTGGTTAATAACTTAAGCTAGTAACTGAAGATATTTTTAAAAATCCTACTGCTGTCTTTATTTCATTCATCCAGATGGGGCTATAAATAATTCCATTTGTCACAAAATCAGTTTTTTTTGAAAATCATTGGTTTTGTTCAGTAATAAGGAGACGTGTGGATCGCAGTAACCCAACTAATGTTTTATGGCTTTTTGCAGCTTTTTGATCACTATTGAAACTTTGCTTGTGTATAACTTACTGAAGCACTGAAAGTGTGCATTGCATAACTGTGCTTTGATCAAGCCCAAGAAATGTGCCTTGTGTCAAGTCAAGACAGGTCTTAAAATAATGACAGGATTGTTACGAGCTTCAGTTGTGTAACAGAATGCCTTTGGCATAAGATTTTACTTCACTCAGGAAATACAAACTTTAGGGGGACATATTTAATGTCTCATTTGTTAGTCCAGGATGAAAAGTGGTCCTGTGACATTACAAACATACAGAGTTGCTGGAAGGGGAGAGATTCAAATGTTCAAAATGCATGCAGGCTTATCCACAAGGTTAGGAAATAGATGTGCAGCACCAAACCCTTACTGGGGCTGAACACACAAGTGAAAAGAAACTAGAACCTAAGGAGTTTGGGGTGTGGGTTTTTCGTGATTTAATGTGAAGCATCTTTGCATTGCAATCATTGACAATAAAAATCCTGACCTAAATGGTAGATTTTAGAACATTCTTCTAAAAAGTATTTAAAATCCTTGAAAAAATCCAGATTCTTTACCTATATAATTATATCATATTATATTCTTTTGACAAAACTTCCTTAATAATTATGTCTGCATTGACAATATTTCATTTCAATCTTCAGTCTTTTGGTACTTTACTAAAAATGGATCTGAGGCTTAAACTTGAATATAACTATAGAATACTACTGAAAAATATTCTTGTGTTAGAGTGAGCATAAGCAACATGGTCTTTTCTTGAGACCTGGAATTCTGGAAGGAGGACAAATTGTGAAAGCAGGGTGAAATCTGCTTCTCCCACCAAATCCCAGCCATTGTATCTAGAAGACAATGAATTCTCAAGAAAGCTAAGCATATATATTTTTGTCCAATTACTAGAGCAGTTAAATTTTGACATAGCTTCTGAACCTTACCTCTGTCCTGTAGCTGATACAAAATGAAAGAATACCTTGTAATTACTTGATCCAAGGTGCTGCAGTTTGGCCTCAATGGTCATGAGAAAATCCAATTCACACTGTGGTGTCCCCTTTGGCATTGATCTATGGAGGCGCAATTTAGATAATTTTCTTCATACTGGCATGCACAAAAACTATTCCTACTTGTCTATCTACTGTCAGGTTCTTAAAAGTAGAATTGGCAGGTAACAGCTTTTAAGTCTTTAAATCTGATTCTTTCAGTAAGTTTAAGCCTGCATGAGAGGCACAATGAGTTGCCTCTCTGAAGCTAAGTAGGTATTAGCTGCTTGTATATTTGGCCTTTTAGTGTTGTGTTCACAGATATAAGTATTTTTCATAGAGCTTGTAATATCACTAAAGATGCATTTTTATGCTCCTTGGGTTAACCTGTTCTTTCTTACAGCTACCTTCAGTTATGTTAGCTGTGCAGTATCCTGAAACATTTGTGTCTGTGGTTACAAATTTTAGGTGAAAACAAACAGCTCCTGGAAATTTTTGGACTAAAGTAGCTCTTTGCAAAAGCCAGCATTATTTTCCTTTGCTTTAAAATATGGAAGAAACAGTGTATGAGTAAGACCTTTATTACAAAAACAAAACCAGAAAATCTTGGTCCCTTATAGTATTAAACACTTTTATTTTGAGGTGCTACAAAGGAGGTCACCATTTCAGACACAAGGCACTTTTCTTGGTTTGACTGCTTCTATTTCTTTTTTTATTTTTTCAGTTAAGTTTGCTTTTGTTGTCGTGTTTTGTCCTACTTTGTTTCATGTTGCGGGTTGCTAGGACCTGGATAAGACCCAGGACGACTTACTGAAACACCAGGCTAGCATTAGTGAGCTCAAGCGCAATTTCATGGAATCCACACCTGAACCACGCCCAAATGAGTGGGAAAAGCGGCGTATCACACCTCTGTCCCTACAGACACAAGGGGTATGTCACTGCACACACCTGTCTGCATGCCTGTCCATACAACCCTCTGTGTCATACAGCAAATGCAGTTTGTCCTTCAGGTTAACACTTTGTCTGATATAATATTTGTTTATACTAAGTATACATTAACTTTTTTACCATTATTATTGGACCTGACTTTAAAGAGTGGGTGGAATTTTATTCTTCTACATGAAGAACTGAATTAGAAGGAAACAGAAGTGATGGCAGCATTTTCTTGTATGTTAAGGATATTTTAAATTTCACTCTGATTTACGCAGATTGATAGAAATAATTTTTCAGTGACAGTAGAAAATTTCCTTCCTTTTCTATATATTATCTATATCTCTTCATAGACAGCTTGTGCATAAATACACACACAATCTGTGTTTTGTTTCAGAAAGACTTTATGTGATCAGTTAATTTACAGTGTTGACTTCAGGACACATTTAATGTAGTTGTTAAAATTTACCTATCTTAGTCTATAAAAGTCTGTAAAATGAATTTATCTACTTCTCTTACCTCTCCTTTCTGACTGAACCTTGAAACAGCACTATGGAATACAGTTTTCTACAAATATCACCCTCAATGCCTGTAGCAAGAAACCTACCCAAATTTCTCATGCTGAAACTTTTAGTTCTATTGGGTTATTAACTGTTTCTTCGATACAGTAGATGAGTACATCGGTCTTTCAAAGAAATCAGTTTGTCGTGTTGTTGTCCTTGTCTATCACCATGGTTCCTACCCTTCCTTCCTTAAATGTATTTTTGTCCTATCCCTTTAAATTCTTCAGGTTTTTTTTTAGTCCACAGAAAGGTGAGCTTTCAATTAAGCAGGCCTGATGCTACAAAATTATTTTTGATAATAGGACATTATTTCAGTAAGATCTGTAAATGATCTGAACTGTGAGTATGTGCATACAGAGAACACAGCAACTAACCATGCATCACTTCTTTATTTTGTTAATTTGTGGTTACTGACAAGAAATTCCTCAAATTTCTGAGTAGTACCTTAATATTTCTACATATAGTGGTATATGCACAGGTACAAATATTGGTCATATTTTCAAATATTCATGACACAGTGATTCATTTAATAGCTATAAATACATTTTTGGCTGAAACAGACATTTATGTAAAAATGTAACTTAATTTTTATTACATTGTTTTGTGTATTTTCTGTATTGATTTCTTCTCTTTAAGTTGAGGACCTTGCAAGTTACTTTATATCTGGAGGTTTGAGTTTTTTTGCTCATTTCGTATGTTCTGTTACTTCCAGATAATTTATTTTTATGTTGATGTATAGTGCATGTCTGTCTCATTGCTTGTTGATTTACATTGGCTTTATAAAATGAAAACCAAATAGAAAAAAGGAGACCACATTTTCCAAGTGAAAACACTGCCTGGGAAGGAGAAACAATGGATTCCAATGCCATGGATTGCTGGAGCAAAACCAGAGGAAACCGATAAGGTGGCTGCCCTGAAACCTGCTGCTTTTTCGCTGTTCTGCTGTGGGGTAGCTTGGTGGCTTGGGCACTTCTCTCTTTTTCTTTTTTTTTTTTTTTTTTTTTTTTTTTTCTTGAAGGAAATAATTTTTTAAAGCCAATACTGAAAGGATAATTTTGAGTTGTAAACCAGGATCTCTGTGTGTATATGTGTATACATACACATGTATGTGAATGCCAGCAACGTTTTGCTTAAACATCAGACTAACCATGAAGTTCTGAATGGCCACCGAAGAGAAACCCAGTGTTTCATTACTGTTCAATACTGGAAAATTACTGTATTTGATGTGACTAGGGTGACAGCAAAAACATGTATTTTCATTCTATATATAAAAAATTGCTTGCAGTTATTTGACACTTCACACAAGAACTTTTGCTTTGTAAGTTCACTATATAATTATTATTCAAATCAGTAATGCTGTGTAAGCAGCTTCATTTCAAAAGCAACCTGTTCTGAATACATCTGCACTTCTGTACCTGTCTTTTCATTAAGGAAAAGAGGGAGGTTTTGTCCCTGATAACGTCTATGTGATGAAAAGCACTCTAACCAGTGGGACTAGAAGCAGTGTGATAGTGATGATGAGTAGCAATTGTGATGTTGCTTTTTTACATCACTTTTGGTCTATTAGGTTAATCTGAAGCTGGCAATCCTATTTCACTAACATATATAAATATGACATTTGGGGAACTGTATTTCCATCCTGAATTATTTGTTGATGGATGCCTGTTGATCCTTGCCTGTCCTTTAGGATAGATAAATAATAGATGAGAATAAAGCAGGGATGCCACTGCTAATATTCTTTTTCTTCTTTTGCTTCAGCGAAAATGCTTACAAGTAATTTTCTATGTCCTAGAAATGTTATTTTGGGTACATCTCATTTGTGTCACTATACTTCTAGATCCACCATACTCCTGCAAGTGCACAGCATCTGTGACTTAATTAAACAAAAACTAACACACTGATATAGATTGCAAATAGGAGAAATATTTCTATCTTATGGATACCCACAATACTTTTTTTTCTTTAAGCCATCCCCCACAGCTTGTAAACAGTATTTCATGTTAGAGTGTATGACTGTGTACCAGAAGATTTTGCCAGGAATTTAAACACAGGCTGATACAAAATTGATTAATTCTATCTATACATTTAATCCTTTCTAATAAGTGCTCCAGGGAACAGAGAGCATTATTACATGAATTGTGTGACTGAGGTTTTCATTTTAAAAGACTGGAAGACCCAAAAATTTGAAGGTGGGAAAATGCTAAAAGATGGGTGTTATATGCCTGCCTTTAATTATATATATGAGATAAGGGGGAGCAGGGATAGAGAGAGATGCACACAGTCAGACAACCTACCACATAAAGATTTTGCGTTTCCCCTGCAGTTTTTTGGGTTTGTTTTTTTTTTTTTTTTCTGCTTTGAGTGGTCAGATAACAAGTTACCAGAGTACAATGAAAAGAGGATCATGAACATTTTTGCCTTTTGATGTAATCTGTTAATAGATTAATGTTTCTTGGGTGGAGTAATCTAGGGAAAGAAAGTAGGGGTAAGGAACACATTGCCCGATTGGTTATTCAATGTTGCATGAAGGCAGGTTTAAAAACTTGCATTCCTGTTACCTCTTCTTAGCCACCATTGAAATAAACTTCGGATTTTAGTGTAGGAAAAGAAAAAATCGAGTTAGGGGTTCTTTTTCTTTTCCCTTCTCTGTTCTTCTGCATGCCATACGTGTTGTAGTGTCCGTACAGTAGTGTGTAACCTCTGTCAGTTCACACTCCCCATCAGCACTCACACGGTGAGTCCCCAGGGCTGCAGTTGTGTGCACGGCACCTCGGCTTTCTGCTTCTGGCATCATTCTCTGTAGTGCCCTTCGGGAAGGCTGAAATGTATCTCGTGAAATGTTGGCAACATGTGTGTTATGTCCGTGTTATGCATTTGTACGTTCTTGGCTTTTTATTTTAACCACTTTTACTTCTAACTTCTTACCAGAGTGTGTGGAATGAAATCTGGAATGAAGAATTGTGGCCTTTTCAGAGGCTTGTACCCACTTGAACTTTCAAAGTTTGCTTAACCATACAGATTTATAGCCCTGCAGAAAATAGACCACATTATGAACATATGCCTTAAAGCAATGTGTCACCTTTCATGTATGTTTGAAAAATACAAGTTTTCCCGCTGAAATGGGAAAGGCTTTTTGAAAACAGATTTTTAATCAACATGAATTTGCTTAGGATATTTAAGTATTTAAAAAAAATAACAATTATTATAAAGAAGTAAGAAATATTTTAACATTTCAGCGCTGTGGGTATATATCCTAAGCAAATATGCCTGACAGCCCTAGAGCTCTGATCCAGCTGGGCTGTAGAAGGTGTCACAAATGGATTTTAAAAGGGCAAAAAAACCCAGGTAGTAAATACGGAGTTACCAGCTATGTAAACTGTGCCGTTTGAGAAGTCGGTGTGTAAATGTCGGTGTGTAAATGTCGGTGTGTTCGTTCGCGCAGCCCCAGCGCACGGCTGTGCCGTGTCCCCCTGTCCGTGCCCCCCGCTCCTGCCGAGCCGGTGCCTTTGTCACGTCTCTCTCTTGCCAAACCTCTCCCCCTGTAGGTGGCTGCCGCTCCGTCCGCCGCTGTCTAATTCTTTCCTTTCCCTTCTCTGACCGTCTAGAGCCTGGAAGAGGAGATAACCTCCATTTTGTTTAGTAAGGAGCGCTTCGGCGCCGGCACCAGCGGGCCCTTCGCCGCCGCCAGCCCGGGGCCAGCAGAGGGCGCTGCGGGGGAGCAGACGGGCGCCGCCGCGCCGGGGCCCCAGGTGCTGCTCGGGCGCGGGCCGGGGCCCGCCGGGACAGGGATAGGGACCGGGATAGGGATAGGGATCGGGACGCGTCCGGGCTGCTCCCGCCCGTCCCGGCCTGCCCCGGAGCGGCGTGCCTGCCTCAAAGCTTAACTCTGCATCTGCAGCACGCCAAAAGCAGGGAGGAATCAGTGCTTGGCTAAACTTAGGCTCCGTAGGTGCTGCGCTAGGTAAACGGCAATAAAAGCTAGAATTAAGTCACAGATGATGTGTTGGTTTTTGTATTCTTTTCATTTGGGCTCTTAATTTTGCTGCAGACTGTTCACTGAATGTTCGATTAAAAAAACCTGACACCCTAATACATCAT